ATTTGCTCTTTGTTCTCCAGCATAATTTTGAGAGGGCGAGGTGGTTGTGCTACTGTCCTGTCTTCACTCCTTTTTCCTATCCGGAATGCTTTCAGAACCTTTATTTCCATGTCTGCCGGCAGTAAATGATTTAGCAGACCAGGTGTTGTGGCAATTAAATCTAATCCCATCCCTCTTTGTTCCCGCCGCCATCTTATTTGATGAATGGGGCAGAATGGAGATAAGGAAGCCAGCAAATGCATCAGTATGTGATGCTATTGCGAGACAGACAGAGAACAGACTCGGTTATTGTTCAAAGTGCATTGTCTACTATACTTTGTGGCAAATTATTCCTAAATACTACCTTGTGGATTTCACCTTAGCTGTTCAGCCCTCCCTAACGCCCAAATATTCCTGTGCGGCTCTTTATTCGAATAGCTACGAATGGGTGTCGGCCAGCGGAGGTGAGGTTCCGGAGGGAGCCATCGTGGCGGGCGTCGCGTCTGATGGACAACCGCTGTACATCGCCAAGGCCCCTATAGAGGAGGAAATCTGTGTAGGCAAGGTGAGTCGAGGTATTTTTTGATTGTTGTCCGCTGTGGTCTACTTATCATATAACCCTAAGCCAAAGCGTCTGGCTTTTAGCAGCCTCTGATTTTATAAGTTGTCTACAGTCCGCCTGTGTTATTATTACAAATGACTTCCACAGCTAGGCATGGAGTTTGCTCGATTGGACGGTCAGTAGATCTCAGCAGATGGGCCGTGGTTTCGGCTGCTTGCAGTAACGCCTTCGTCAGTCGCAATCTGCATGTACGCCTTAAGAGAAGAGCAAGAGAGTGAAGTTATTCTAAATGCAATCAGAACTGATGGCCGATAGGTCGTCCTTAATTGGGAGTTGCACCAGCTAAAATTAGAAGAATTAAGAACCAAATTCGGTCGACGCACTCCGGCCCTGGGATTCTGCCCTAACAGATCAAATTACCGGCATGTTCGGTGTAAAGCTCGTCACGTTCACATTAAAATCTGTTTGCAGATGTCGACGACGAGTACCTTGTTGCAGACCAGTGACGTTTAATCACTGTCACTGAGACCTTTTTCTTAGCATTCGAGGTTCTCTATATTCTAAAAAAGTACCAAGTACCATTTTTCACAATCATTTTCTGCCTTTCAGGTGCATAGCGGCCACGCCCGGGCCTATATGCCGTCCTTCAGCCGTGAATGCTTGGTTAACGACTATGAAGTCCTAGTTTGGAAGACGGAGTAGAGGATGGCAGCTGCTACCGATCAGGTCTGTTTCATATGCGCCCGAGTGTCCAGACGCATTTTTTACCAATTGTCACTGGTAAAATGGATAGGTACAATTTTGCGCACTTTCAAATGCCTATTTAAC